GTATGACTCCCAGTGCCAAGGAAAAAGTTTAAAATTGGTGGTTTTGTTCTGACTAAGCCAAGCTCTCTAGAGGAATAGTTAAAATTAATTCATTATGAATGAAATTTTCATTATTTAGAATACCTAATTAATTCATAAAGTACTGTGTGATTAAATCTTTTAACTTAAACAATACACGTAAATAATCTTAAATAAAGGTTTTAATTTTAAAAATAAAATTAATATTATTACTTTTCTAAAAATCAAAAGAAAACAATAAAAGTAGAAAAATCATCTTCATTACTAGATTTTAAAAAAAAAAAAAAAATGATCTACGAAAATGGCTTAAACTAAAAAAGAAAATAAGAAAGAAAAAAAATCTACCCGTCCTAAGAGAAATTAACAAAGCAAAAATAAAAAAAAACAACTAAAAAGAATAAAACTATGAATCTATGAAATAACAAGGAGAAAAAACAATTAAAAAAAATAATACTCATACTATTAGTGTTATCACACCCGGCTCCGAAGCCATTTAATCTATACGGAGCCACTTTAGGTGCGGATAGTTATTTAAGATTATAGGTACCCGGGTACCAATAGATTCAGCCATCCTTGAGCTCTTTTTCAAAAAATGGTGCGTAAAAGAGTGTCGCCGGAAGTTTATGAATAAGAACCATAATAAAAACCTAAAGAGAGTGGGCCTAATCTATTAAATTTATCATTTACTTGCCACTGAAAATAAAATATTTGATCCTTTAGATGTGTCTCAGAGATAAACGAATAAGAAATAGTTTTCGAAGATTTCAAATGCTAATTTCAAGGTAAAAGGCTTGGCTTAAACTTAAACTTATTTAACAACAATTAATAAGTTAATGTTAAACTGTTAAACGTACTTCTTCATTAACTCAGCACTAAATAAAACGAGTCGAGACTACTAATCAACTTACAGACTAAAATAACTAAGCCGCTAAGCCGATTTTATAAATTTTAACGTAGTTTATGTAGAAGTTTAGTTTCTGATTAGTAGATTAGGGTTAGCCTAGTGCCAGTGCTCTAGCCATGGCAAATCGTAAATTTAATTGATAGTAAAATCATTGATAGATTACTGACAATTACGGATTACTGACCACTGACTAGTCTTAGTTAATTTATTTTGATTCGTAGTCATATTTAACACTATTTTTAAAAAAATATGTATGAATTTAATATTAATACTTAATAATTTGATTTTGATAAATTAACTAGGCCTAAATTTTAAATTGCAAATAAATTATTATTAAAATGGAGACTTAAATTAAACAATAAATTAAGAACAAATAAATTTTCTTTCACTATCTATCTAGACGTCTAGACTGTACTTCAATCTTCATTACATGAATCTCATGAATGCTCAGCTTTTAGTTTTAGTACAGATTGCACGGCAATATCATCTTTCAAATTCAAAGAAATATATCAAGTTTAAGACTTAAGTTTAAGAGTTAATTATAAATTCTAAAATTTAGATCCTTTCGTCATAGCCTATTTATTCAATCTAAATAATGTTTAAATTAATGGCTCAAATGAAACAAATATCAAACTTTTGTTGTTTAAACTCATTGAAACCCAAAATAAGGATAAATTTATGCAGCTTTAAATTTAAATTAAGAATTTCATCAGAAGGTCTAACTCCTTGGCCTTGATTTTATCAGTGCTAGAATCATTGATAATGTCATTATTTTTTCTCTTTTATGAATACAAATAATTGCTTGCTTCTTAAATTAATAAGTAGCAACATCACACCAAATTTGAGTATTTTTATCTTTAACATCTACTAATTTGATTATGATTATTTTTCATTCTAAAAATGCACAGTTTGTTGAATTTATTTAGGAAAAAGTAGTATCTTATATTTAAAATAATTATTTAAATAAGAAAATGCTATTCTAAAGCACATGGTATACTTTCTTTTTTTTAATAAATCATCAACAAATCCAGTAAACATGAAATTTTTGTCATGAGAAGTATGCAAGAAATATGGGTGAAAGTGATAAGCTGAAAACGGTTGACAAAATGTTAAAAAAAAGGAACTTGAGATCGGCACAAACAAATTCATAACTATTAAACCACTTTAGCAAGAAATAACTAGAAAGTTGATCTTCATTTTTTGTGTGTAAATGATTCATTTGACATTTTGCTCTATTCAACTGTATTGCATTTATATTTTTAGAAATATTTTTAAAATTTCACTTTAGTAACTTCTTTGACCTAATCATGCATAATCAAAATGTACAAACTTCTTTTAAAGGAGTAATTATAAGTAATAGTAGACCAGCATTAGTAGTATTAGTAGTAGTAGGCTATAAAAAGGCAATTAAAACTTCTTTAATAAAAGGAAAATGTAGCTGGCAGACTACTTGCTTAGTGGCCATCCTTAAATGTTGTCACACATCTGGGGGTGGTGAGATGAGGGCGTTATGATGTGTTATAAGGCTAATAAGGTCATTGACGTTGCCTAAATTTGGTGACAAAATTAGGAAGATAGAGGAGGAGGAGGGGGGGGGGTAAAAAAAATTCACCCAAAACAGTGTGACATCATTTTTGGATGGTCCCTTAGACTTAGTCAAAGGATTAATAATCAATTTAATATTTTACAATTTACTGAACATCTAGAATTTATTTTAATATTTAAAAATGATGAAACAAACATTAGTTTCCATCTAATGATGTAACTACAATGAAACAACTTAAGATTCGTTCATTCACCACCCTGAATTTAAAAAAAAAAGGGCAGAGAATTCAGAATGTACCCAAAACTAATATTAACATTCTAATTAAAAATTGTCTAATCGTTTGAGTTTCTCAAAAGGATTTTTTATTTGAAAAATGATCCTCTGACTATTTCGGTATTATCTTATCACAAATAAAAACTTGCTACCAAAGTCAAGTTGTTTTTATTGTTATGAGTTTAGTTAATTTTCAAGTAAATAATATAATTGATACACAAACAATTTGTGTAAATAAAACAATATTTGTTTTAAGTCAGGGGTCTCCAAACTTTTCAGCCTGAGGGCCGCATTAACTAGCAAACAATAGTTCGCGGGCCGAATGCACACTCGAGCAGGGTTTCTTTCAGCATGATCTCGGGGGCTCGCCCCCCCCCCCCCCCCCTGGGAAAGCCAAGTGCCCCCCGGAGCAAAAATATTTCCAACAATGAATCAACTGGCACTGCCCCTCCCCCAAAAAATCTGAAGTGCATTTTTCAATATTTAAGTCACAATGTTTTCACCCTTGTCTGCAACATGGCGTGCAAAGCTCCGCCACTAAATGGCGTTATATCATGTCATTTCATTGACTGTGAACGAATGTAGAAAAACTAAGCATCGAATAAGGTTTTGCAAAGTAATGATCGGTTAGAAAACATAATGCACTACTGAGCGCCTCTAAAAATATTCGGTAAAAACATAACGTCCACGTAAGCGGTGTCTTACCTTGTCAGGATACACGTACATTTGCGCAATTTTTTATTCCGTTGACTAAAGGTCTCCGCGGGCCGCATGAGAGAGCCTCGCGGGCTTCATGCGGCCCTTGGGCCATAGTTTGGAGACCCCTGTTTTAATTGTATGTACAATAAAAAAAAAGATTAATATAATTATAAATTAAATGTACATAATATATGTATTTCCTGCCTATACCTAAAAAATAAAATAATAAAACAAAAACTCTTGTACTGATGAAGGCATAAGCAGACCTGTTTACCTTCAAACTCTTAAAATCGTACAATATCATCACAAAGTCATTCAATACATTACCTTAATAGTAAAAAAAAAATTAAACACACAGTATATATAATGTATACACTTCAAAATGATACTTTGTACGCCAAAATCGCAAGAGTAAACAGGTCTCCCTAAGCAGAAATGTTTGAATTTATATATGGTCGAATCTTAGTTAAAGCTTAACCTATTTTATTTACTAAAATAGCTTGTGTCTCATTAATGTAATTAACAGCTTTATCATCGTCCAACCCTCTTATAATTAATTTTCAAGCCAGCATTATTAAATGTACAAATTTTTTTCTAAAGTTGTAAGTTTTAAAATTAAAATATTAATGGAAGTTTAAAATCGTTCTACAAACATATAAAATGTATGTTCTTATTTGTCAAAATCTATTTGTTATAGTTAAGTTGAGACATTTTTTACAATGTTATTGATATGAATTTTTCTATATATGGACAATTGTAAGTTTTATTACTTTTTAAAAATTTGCTTAGATGGGCATCTTGTTAGGAGACTATGTGAAGGTGATCAGCCCATTTGAGGGTGAGGTCCCCTCTGACTTACCCCTGAGTGTTGGAGATGTGATTAAGATTACAGATGTAATTGACGACAACTGGGTAACAGGTCAAAAAGTGGGAGCCAATGCATCTCCTGGCAATTTCCCAGTCACATTTGTTGAGCACCTGGTTCTTCCTTCTATCAGAACAGGCCAGAAGGTTTTTCTAGTACTTGAAGACTTTCCAGCTGAGCAGAGTGGTGATTTAGATCTAACAAAAGGTAACAAAAAAAATAATTTTTTAAGGTATTCTTATATTTTAGCTCATTTAAACTCAACATGCAAGAAAATGTTTTGTTTGTTGTGAATGCATTGTTTTCAATCCTGTCCTGCTAACCACCATTTGTTTTTTTTTTGTTGAGATCTTGTGGTTTTGATTGACATATGCAAGCATTGAACATATACAATACAGCAATCGCAACACTCGCATAACAATTTAAAATATTGTTTCCCAAAGAAGTGGCCACCGGACCGGTGCATCCAGAAGACCCTGGATAGCTGATGATATGTGTCTGACTAAATTGGAGACCCCATATAAAGTATTTTTTGGGAAAAAGGGAGATACCAAAAACATGTATAACCTTGAACCAACTGTGTGGCTTAAGCCATGTGATGGAATGGGATCGCACAGTGTGCCATATTTTTTGGCTATTTTGATGCCATAAAATATGTGCAAGCTTGTATCCTTCATTTTTGCACGACACACCTACACCCTGCAAGCAACACAGGAACATCAAATTTGTAAATTACGGTACTCTAAACAGTCATTAAAATATAACAACTAATAACAGCTGGCATTAAATGGTAATTGTTTAAATAGTCCTATAGCATTTATAACCATTAAGTTCAAATAAAAAGACAACTATTTGAAAGACCTGGAGAGTTCATGGTGCAATGGGAAACTTGTCCACCTGTCTGCCCAGCTTAAAAGTTTGGGAAATGCTGATTTCAATGCCAGTTCCCACCTCCAAACTAAATGTTATATCTTATCACATCTTTAGATACTATATTTATTTCGCTATCTGTTCTCTTTCTCATTTATCAGGTTTTTAGATTAGCACCCAGATTAAATATTTTTGTCTATTTAAATGAATGACTATGGTGTCCTTACTGTCACAATGGAAACTTCTTTTTTCTTCATCCAGGTGACATTATATTAGGCACAGAACCGGTCGATGCCGCCTGGTGGAAGGGGAAAAACGGCCCATTGAAAGGAATATTCCCTCTTTCCTTTGTAACAGAGATAGAATTAGACTGTGGCCCGCGGTCAAGGTCAGCAAGCTCTCGATCAAACAGTCTCGTTTCAGGATTTTACAAAGACAGTCCAGACAAGGAATATGGAGGTTTTGCAGGACTGAAGGTCCCTTTTTTTGCGAGAGCGCTAGTTGACATCAGTCCGCAGCTTGATGGCGAGCTGGCCTTTCAGCTCGGTGATCTCATCGAAATTACAGATGTGATCGATGGCGACTGGTTCTATGGGAGGTGTCACAACAAAGAGGGGCTGGTCTCCGCAGTGTGTGTTGAAATTCTAGAAGCAGCCGATGATACCTTTGGTAATAGGAAGGATGAAGATGGTCAAATTTTCCACCCCGTGCCACCTTCTTACGGAGGGGAAAAACGTCATGGCAATCTTAAACTCAGTGACGCGGAATTTAGACTGCGAAATACTAGCAGTGGTTCTTACACCAGTGAGAACACACGTTCCCATGATGCAGAGGTAACACCCTACGGCAGGGTTCTTTATCCGTTCACGGCTAAACTGCCAACAGAGCTGTCGCTGTCAGAGTTCGAGCTGGTCACTCTTATTCAGCATGTCGATCAAGACTGGACAGAAGGGGAGATCAGCTGCAAAAGGGGTTTGTTTCCAACAAGTTTTATAGAAATCATTGTGGACTGTCCATATTCTTACAGGAAGGACTTGTCAGCGCTCTCACCCGTTAGCCCCTGCTTGAAAGGAGATGAACATATGAGGGATATAAATACTCTATCTTCAAGTCAGCATGGAGCAGGCCAAAGGCACGATAAGGCGGTCCTTGGCAGAGCAGCCTATCAACAAGAAAAAGCTGATGAAGAAAATGGTAACATTCTTCACACTGATTGCCTGCAGAACAAAACAAGTTTTTGTCAAACTTGTCACGACAAGAACCGGCTGCCTGTACCCGAAGTCCAAGAAGTGACCGATGATCCGAGCGGCACACCAGAATCCCATGAAATAGGTTTGGTGATCCACAGTTTTCTAGGTGAGGTCAGTCAAGATGCCACAGTTGAAGAAGGGGAGACAATTGAGGTTTTGAGGCACGTGAACGAGAACTGGCTGGAGATACAAACAGATTCTGGTCAACGAGGGATGGTGCCTAAGAATCATGTAGAAATCATTGGGCCATGGCCTAAGAAGGAGACTGTACTTTCAGAGCAAACACGGGCGGCCAGAGAAACAAAAACAAACAGCATCTTGTCAGTGCCAACTACAAAAAAAGTTTTAGACAATTCTTCGCCAAAAGACATTGTTCAAAATTCAGTAGCTTTACATGAAGTAGATTTTCAACCATCAAACAGACATGAAGCCATTGTCAAGTCTAATAAGAGCGTTGTGGAGGAACTAACCGAAAATATCGTCAAACGCCATCCTAGTCCGCAGCCTTTGAAACCTTTAATTTCCCCTAAACCTAAACCCCCGCTTCCATCAAAACCTGCAATCGCCCCCAAACCTGTCTTTGTGTACAAAAAGCCCTCACCAACAATCATTGATAAAACTGAGCCATTCAAGCCAAGTAATATATCTTCTCTTGCCAGCAATAACACCCAGATTTCAGTGGATGACCTTAAGGAAAACTCTCAAACCCAGTTCAATGTTAGCAACTCATCAGCGGTCTTAAATTCATCAATGGCAGACTCTCAACTCCAAGGGAAGTTAACCAAGCCTGACAGCAATGCTCAAAGATTAACACCATCCGATGCCACCGTCCAAGCTTCATCATTCAGTGACGGCCCTGACCCCCGGCAAAATGTGATAATCAGGAACAGGCCGAGGAGTTTGGTAAGTGCTGCAAATTCCAAGAGCTTTTCCGAGACTGCCGGCCAAACTGTGTCTCCCAATAACAGGAGACCAGCTTCCATGGCTGTACAGGACAGGCCCAAATCATCAGAATTTGTGTTGACCAGTGATCAGACATCCTTTGTGAACAAAGCCTTCCAAATGGATACAGATGAAGGAAATCTAATAGATCTGAAAGTAAGCCGACCCTCACCCCCTCGACGTCCCCCCCCTCGGCTAGTACCGCCTGTAAATGCGGATGTGACACGCACATCCCCTCCCACACTTGTGTTCCCACATAAACCCCCACCCCCCCGCCCCACGGGGCCCAGAATCGCACCAGCCCCTCCTAAAACAGTGCTAGTTCCGTTAAAAGTTGACATACGCCCCAAACTCGTACCCAAGAGACCGGCTCCTAGAGCCCCATCGCTGGCCGCAAACTCTGTCTCACAGTCTCAGCGTCAGGGCTCCGTTGCAATTGACGGTGGCCCGCCAATCCACCCGCCACGTCGGCATCCGCCTCGGCCAGCATCATTTCCGGCGGTACTGCTGCAACCTCAAACAACAGATCTCATGGTATTCAGTCCGGGCACTTCAAATTCAGGTCAGAGTTCGAAACTAATCTTCTAAATCTCTTTATCCAATTTCTTTTTTTTTAAATTTACCATTTAACATTGCGCTTAGATCAACTACTGTATGGAACCTTATAGTGTGCAAAGTCGTTTGGCTTTATTTTATTATAAATTCCATTTTGTACTTGGTCAATACTTGAATAAAACTAATTACTTGAAGTTCTGGAAGCATTTGACAAGTTCAAAAAATTTTGTAGGTGCATGGGAACATCTAAAGTCAATGCCTTACCTGTCCACTAACTTTAATTTTGATGACTTAGCTAAGTGAAAAATGTCAGACACTCATTTTGATGATAGATGGATTTATTTGCAATATAAATGTCAATGTGGGTCCCTCAGAACTCTCTGACTTGTGACATCTGAGTGTTGTTTGCATTGTTTGACTCTTGACACTAGAGATTCATCCACCGCTTGGCAAATGTTGGACATAAATAATAAGAGAAGTAACTCTTAAGAAATATTTAGCAAAATATTGGAATTCTTGAGCTATTTCCCTTTTACTTTCACCCAACAACATTCTACCTTTCATTTCTTGTATTACCAGGGGGTGCGCAGACTGAGCCAAGTCCCGAATTGGTTGCTGACATCAAGAGTAAATTAAAAGAGAATCAAAGTGATATTAAGGTAGGCCTGTTGTCCCCAGCTGAGTGTGTCGTGGCAGTGGTTGTTTTATAAGAATCATACTGTAGAAGCTTAGGTTGAAAATGAAAGTTGGGGAGTGGTCAAGTTCTCATTGCTCAGAATTATTCATATCTACGATAAAAAACAATGAAATGATTTAGTTGCCATGGTTATACATCTAAAAATGGTTGATCTTTGTAAGTGGCAATAATTAGGAGTTGATTTGAGGTGTCATTTGATGGAGCCACAAGCTTGATGTCTGCTTTAAGGTACATCAACAACTAATAGGTTTTATAGAGCTCTCATCATCAAGTCAAAAACAAATGTTGATTCCCCCCCTCCCCAATCCTTGTTTTTTTTTTAAATTCTAAATATTTAAATGAGATACATTTTTTTACATTTAATTAAAAACCTAAAAAATTTAATTACTTTCTTAAAAAAAAAAAAATTATATTCAAGAAACCAAAAAACATGCTTAGACAAGCCACCATCTCCTAATAAAATAGTCATGTATGGACATGATCTAAAGTTTTGTCCCTTGAAAAAGGAGTTTAGCCAAAAGCTACCAGCTTTTTCCCTTTCACCCTACTTTGTCATATGTTTGACTCTTGAATCAGAAATGGAAGTGCCGTTAATAAAAGGACCGGGAAAGAAGGTCCTTATTCAGATAACATTGTCTATAATAGACCTGCAGCCACCGTTTGCGTTCACTGACGTATGAGATAAAATACTGCTATTTATTAATACTTTTTCCATCTGTTAAGATGCATTCCAAAAAAACAAACTGCCCCACTTATAATCCTTTTCACTTCTGTGGTCACTTGGCAGCTGTAGCTATGAACAGTTGATCAAGTACACATTCATAATGTGGGGGGGGGGGGGTTTAGCACTGGTAGTTTTGTGCATACTGCAGGA